GCAAAAAATAAGTTAGTTTGGTTGGTTAAGTCATTGGGTTGCAACTTTAAGGTAACGCATTCAAATCTAGTCTCAAGCGAAAAAAAAATGTTTGTTTTGTTTAAAACAGGTTAACCGTGGGTCGGATCTTGAACCGACCGACCCGATTCGTGACCCAGGCGAAAACAGCAGCCATGGTTGCACGTTTTCAAGCTTTTTGAGCTTGAAATTTGTTTGTTTCTTAACTTTTTTTTTCATTCTTTTTATACTAAATCCTTGGTAATATTTTTATCAACATTTTGATATAAAAAGCATAAATTTTCATGAAAAATTGAGTTTCAAAATTTGATTTAAAGTTTAGTTTTTTAAAATAAAACTCCACAACTTAAAAAATATAAAATCGAACCATATAAAGCTGAATATAAAACATGAGGCTACTGAGGTTTGATACAGTACTTAAAAACGAAGTCATGGACATAAAATCATGACATTTGGTTAAAAATCTCACCCATAATCGGTGAAAACCCGAGATTTTCAACTCGAACTTCAAACTCAGATTTCTCTTTCAGTATTTGCTTATTTTTTAAACTATTTGAACCAGAACGATTATAAGTCAGTGCTCTACATTTATATTTAAGAGTTTTGGCTTATTAGTTGATGAAATCGGACTAAATCACGAGTTTTTGGTTGTGGTGTCGTTTTCTCCAAACAAACATGTACTATTGACAAAACAGGTCCCTTATCTTTGAAAAAGATGACATTCGCCCCCTGTACTTTTTGACATTTACAACCGTTCCTCTGCTCTCACTATTTTAATAAACTTACACTTTTTACCCCTAAATCAACATTCCATTTCAACCTTGGTCATTTCTTATTTTAAGAATTCTACAATTATTTTCTTCAATAAATAACATAAATATTTCAACACTTCAGATAAATTTAATAAAAAAAATATTTAAGGAGTCGTATAATATTATTTTTATATATTTAAAATTTTGGTTTTACAAAAACCCAAAAATCACATATAATAAGATGGAGCAAATGTAGAACGTCTGATTTTCGTTGATTTTTGAATTTTCCTTCGATTTCTTCAACCCAAGGATTCACTAGAAGAAACGGTAGGCTCGATTCTCACCATATTTGGGTCGAGTTTTTCACCAGATCGATTTCTTCAGCATATTGGAGAAGGTTGAGTGACCGAAGATGGTTGGCCAGAGGTGAGATACTCGAGAGGGGTCAGCGATGGGGGAAATAAGCCGTATATGGAGGTGTTATTTGTTATTGTTTATGTTTTTTCTTATAGTTATTATTATTGAGTTTTAAAAATTTGTAAAACAGGTCCTTGAAACAATTATAAATTTCATAATACAACAAAAACTGAAAATACTTCTAAGTTAACTGAGATTTTAAACGACTGTTAACATGAGGAACCTGATCCATACAAAAATGAAACTATAATGACCATCCATGTAATTATTTCACTTGCGAGACCCGATCCAAATTTTCGCCAAAAAAAATAACAAAACGGAATGTTAGTGGGTCAATTCGACCCAACCTGTTTCGACTTGTACTATAAAGTTTATACGTCTGACATATCTACTTTAATTTGCAACCTATAATTGGCTCTTCGAACATATAATTGGCTCTTCTTGTCGAACAATTTTGATTCATGCATGTTCTTTTACATTATGTAAAAATAATGGACTCACTGCAACTAAAAAACAAATATAACGGTTCAAAAAATAACATGATTCTCTGATAGAAATGATTAGGGGTTGTTTGTTAGTCTTTTAATAGTTCTATTAAGAGGCAACTTCTGAATCATTAAGAGATAAATCATGTTTGGTAAAAACATCTCTGCCTCTCAATGCTTCCATTAATCTCTTACTGGTTTTTATGTTGGACCTTCCTAAACCATGTTGTGCTAATTTTTCCAAGCTTTTCTTATTCTCTTCACGACCTCTCCCTGACTCTCTTCAGGAATTGAAGACGCCTCTCTGTACGATTTCTTCTATGCACAACACCTTCAGGCATCGAAGCCACTCCCCAGTTCGATTTCTGGTTTTTTTGGTGCATATATATATATATATATATATATGTGTGTGTGTGTGTGTGTGTGTGTGTTTATTCAAGGAAGAACTGATTAGTTTGTGATAATTGTGAGATTCAATCTCAACCACAAATCAATGGATAACTTAGAAAACTAATATTTTTGGTAATTTGACTTAAATTTTTAATTAAATGGCATTTTAGGTATTTTTTTATCTCTCATCTGTCTCTCTTTCTGCTTCTTCCGGCCTCCGGTAATCCTTATTTCAACGAACACCATGTGATAACCAAAATATACCAAGATACACATTGTGATACTCAAAATACATACAATGTAATATCTAAAACAAACCAAGTAAACTTCGAGACCACTATGATACCAATTGTGATACCAACTGTTATACTATGATACCTACGTTGTGTGTGTGTGTGTGTGTATATATATATATGTGTGTGTGTGTGTGTGTGTGTGTCGGGGGGGGGGGGGCGTCATTCAAGGAGAACTAGATACTAATGTGATACACATAATGAACAATGTGATATAAAAAATAAAATAAAAGTAAATTGGAATATTAAATTAATTAAAGTAAATTGAATAATCAACCCAAATCACGAATTTACCCTTTTATTTTATTTTAATAAAAATATAAATTATTTTAAATCATAGGCTTACATTGAATCAGTTACCACAAACTAATTAATTCTCATTTGATTAGACCCTATATGTATATATATATATATATATATATAGATCTCATCGAAAATCGTCCGCGTCTCTGATTTAATATCACATGTGATGGAATAATAATATCACATGTGATTGTCTATAGCAAAAGGGGTTTTATTGCGTTCTTGTAAAATAAAGGTGTTTTCGTTTGAACCCTTCCATATATATATATTTGGGATCATGTGAGACCGATGGTTTTTCGTGAGACCCGTGAGACCAATTCTCAACCCTTAGATTAGATCTACAAGCTGAACATTCATAATCACAAAATTGTCACCGTACAACTTTAGACCATTTGATCATTAGCGTATAAAGTTAATCAATGAACATAATAATTGGTCTTATGGGTCTCACGAAAAACCTTTGGTGTCACGTGAATCCAACCCTATATATATATATATATATATATATATATATATATATATATATAATCAAGATTCTTACGCACACGAGGCCTTTGATGAGGAAGTTTCAGTCTTTGTTCCAACCGATATTATTGTCTGTGTTGAATCTACTTACAGTCGGCTCCATCAGACATTTTAATTAGTGAGTGTCTAATTAAGTCCTACTTTGAATTTGAAATCTCTTAACATTTGAAAACTGTATGTGTGTATTTGCCTTCTGGAATCAATAAAGACAGCTACTTCTGGTTTGGATTCTTGCATGGCATGCACCAATCATGGTGCAGCACTGATATTTCTTTCTCAACGTGTGCTAGCTTATTCTGTTGAAAGAGAGAGTAATACGATCAGGGTGATTCATGATATGGATTGAGAGATTATTGATTGCTCTGCACTTGCTAAAATCCAATATGAGCAAGGACCAACTCAACTGCCATACAGACTCCATTGCTTTGTGTTTAGAACTGGGAAATTAAGATGGACGGATTGTAGTTAAACAGAAAGATAAGGATGGTGACTTATCCATGAACACCGCATATATCTACTGATGAGGAAACAGCATCTCTTCATTTCTACAGCATATATCTATGGCTTATCCTGACTATTCTACTGCAATGCCATCTGTTTTAAGATGGTATTGTGATAATGGTAGTTCATAGCCTGTTTTATCTAGTAGGTGGATGTCAAAACCAGCTTTAATTATGTATACAAGAAGATGTAGATGCTAGCTAACGGAATTAATCCCCCGACCACCGAACTATCGTACAACCGTCCTAACGTGTGTAGCTCGTACGTACAGTGATTAATTAGGATTAAGATAGAGATTTTAATATGTTATATGATTATTTTCTAACATTAATAATGGTTGAATAGAACCCAAAAAGAAATGTTTCCTTTTATGAATAGATAAGATACCTACATGAACCTTTCACATCATATAGCAAATATATACCTTCCATTTATAACATCTTTTATATATGTGTACCTACCCTTGAGAACTTGTTGGTTCAACCAACTTATACCACAAAATTGTTGGACCACATGCATTATGAGTTGTACATATATAGTACCCAAGATTCAAATTATCACACCATCCAAACATACGTACAAGACGGTAAAGCAAGACGGCCCGTATGATCAATCGTCTCGGTTCGGTTGTCTTGGATATACTTCGATTGCAAACTTTATACAAAATCTTGAGAATTGACCATACGATTCACCTAGATATGCGTAAAAACGAGAAGTTATAAGCATATGGTGCACATTTAAATGATCCATTTCGGTTCTCGCCCATGCCACGAAAACGATAGCGTGATTTAAGAAAGCCGAAAGAAGTAAAAACAAAGGAAAAAAGCTTTGGAGCTTTAGCTTTTTGTGGGGTAGAAAAGGCACTAAGAGAAGATGTAGTACACCAAAATGGCAAGAATGGGTATGTACCATGACTTGTTTTAATCGATTGTGGTTCACCGACCCTACGAAATCAATCTATACCATACAGGTAGATAGTAATTGCTTGATGCATTTGTAAGTTTGCAACTTCTAGATTCCACTACAAATCAACATCAACTTTAGTTCATATATTTAATCTCCACAAGAAATAGATATTGGGAAAACATATATATATATATATATATATCGTCAATTATATCTATACGAAACAGTGATATAATCCTCGACAAAAATGTGGTAGGGCTAATCGTTATCGATTTGAATGATCGATCGTTTTAAACATGGTAGTGGAGGGTCACCTTTAGAGTTGTACATCTAAATCCTTTGCCTATATAAAGACAAGCACTTCTATGAAATCTTGAAGTGTGAAGTGAACTTGAAGAGAGAGAGAGAGAGAGAGTGAGAGAGAGTGATCTAGAGAGAGAGAGAGTGAGAGTTCTTGGATTTCAAGTACTTCTTTTCATAGGGATACTTGAAAGAAGGAAACAATGGTTAGTGTTATGGGCTTCTATCAAACCCTAAATCTTGATCTTTCCAAAACCCTAAATCTTGATCTTTTGAAAAACCCTAATCTTGATCTTTAGAAACCCTAATCTTGATCTTTAATATGAAACCCTAGCTAAAATCTAACTGTTTTTGTGTGCTTTTTTCAGGAGGGGAAGATGAGTTGGACGGTGGCGGATGCGGTAAACTACAAGGGATTCCCAGCTGATCGGTCGAAAACTGGTGGTTGGGTGCCTGCTGCCTTGATTCTTGGTTAGTTCATACACAATTTGCTTCACTGTTTTTGCATTCTAACCTGTTGGGATCACTTATAATGGTCCTGTGATCAATTGGATTCACATGCAGCTAGGCTGGGGTTCAAATAAACTGGACCACCCTAGGCGCCATATATCTGGCCAGGACCAAATAGCTTGATCATAAACTGGACCAGTACCCCCACACTAAACTGAACTTTAGCGTTTGGCAAATGGCATCTATACATACATACATATATATATATATATATATATATATATATACTTCCATTATTAAACACATGAGCTTGTATTTCTTCTGGTTTCTGTGTCGTCGAACTCTCATCTTCTTTCCTTTTCGTTCATCAGAAAGGTGGAAGTTGAATTGAAGGTGGTTGAAAGATTGTTATGCAAGTCATTGTGCATGATTCATGCAAATTGGTTGCAAGATCAATCACATACAAAAATGGCTTTTTTTGGTTACTTAATTGATTGCATACGATCTATAACAACGGTTTAAGTCGTGAGTTCTAATATCGTGTCGTTTTAGATTATCCGACAAGTATGAGTTTCAAATAAGAAAGCTAAATATTGTAATGAAGTAAAAACCGAATGTTAAGGAAAGATTCATATCTAAATCATTATAGAATTCATTTAAATATGGATAAGTGAACCCATATAAATAACTTGTACGTAACATCGTTTCACGTATGTATATTCAAATAGATTTTTTTGGAATTTTTTCAATTGGTCACATAAAAATCTTTCTTCTTACATCCTCACTATATTTAACATTTTTTATTCAAACAAATAATGTTAATAATATATACATATATATATATATATACATATATATATATATATTTTACACTTGAAAATTCACAATAAAACGTTGGGAAGGTAAAAAAACCTAAACCTTCACAGCAAAATCACCGTAAATGTTACCTTCACAACATTTTACTATGATGTTTCAACTGTAAAAAAATAGTTTCATAGATCTCAAAAACATGTTGGTCTCACATATATATATATATGGTATATTTCTTTTACAACCTTGTGCATTTGTACAACTCTTACAACCTTGTGCATTTGTACAACTCTTACAAATAATGTTAATAATATATACATATATATATATATACATATATATATATATACATATATAAATATATATATATATATATATATATATATATATATATAAGGTAATATTTATCCCCGAAAGTTTTGGAAAATTAAAGAAAAAGAGAAGTAAAAAGTTCTCCGCATGCACTTGAATATTCTTAAAGAAGTAATTCAATATTCCCTGTCAAAACAAGTTTCTATGTGTATTTGTCTCTTGGAATAAATATAACATTTTTTTAAATAAAAACATAAAATGTTTTTGAGTTAAGTTTTACGGATCAAAATTATATTTAATTACAATTGTTATAAGACGTATTATATATATATACTAGAAGGGTATTCGCACAATGTAGCGAGATATATCTTATATAAATTTAATATCTCAGTCGATGTTATCATATGGTCTTATGTGATTTTGAAAAAGCGATGATGTTTTTATTTTTGAATAAAATATAAATTTGAAAATATCATAAAAATTTGACAAAAATATATCGATATTAGTATCAAATTAACTATTTAAAATTCTTTTAATTCATTTATTATTATAATTTAATTTAGATCTAAAAACGAAATTTTTTATATTTGGTTTAATAATATAATTTTCTTATAAAGATAATTATTAATTATTTTGTTAGATCTCGATAATTATCTTAATTATATTTTAGATTTTTTATATTTTAAAATGAGATGTTTATCCTCTATTGGATTATGTTTATCCGCACTTAGTTACACGAATTCAAAATGGAGCTTTGATAAGTTGTACTTATGCATAATTTACATGTAATATGCATCAATATACAGTATTTTATGCATAAAAAATGATTTTTAATAGTTTTTGTCAAATGTTTTATAATATAGTATAGATAAGTATACATGATACCTTTAAAAAGTGCATATAAAAGACTAATTATAAAATTAATATATCAGATATTATATAGAATACATAATTGTTAATGCTATAAAATTATATTATCAATAATTAAGTATTATAACGTCAAAACAAACAGAAAGCGTTAAAAAGACCATTATGTTATCAATCATTGTCCTCTAAGAAATAATTGAATGTATGTGGGTCCCTTAGTCGAAAAGTCGATGTATTATTCATCCCACTCTTCAATTTTCGCTGTGAGAATCGGGAGAAAGATGATCGGTCGTTTTTTAATTTGCAAAAAGAAAAAAGCACGTCTAATGACGTCAAATCTTTTTTTTTTCTTTTCGTCATAGACAAAACGATTATAACCGACATTATCGTTTTTAAGTATGTAGCTACGTAGATATACATGAAATGAGAAGATAATATCTGGACCCGGCAACAAGTACCGTCTTTAGTATAATAAATGCCCAAAACACGATAACTGTTAATAACCCAGACCTTATCTTCCGTGACCCCATCATCTTTTTAATCCAGAAATGATTGGTTAAAAATATCTCAGACAGATTCTTCATAAGTAAATTTTAGATAATATGATAATACATTCAATTTCATTTGGGGAAATAATAATAAAAAATACATTTATGCTTTTCTGTAACTAAGGGGTTGTTCACTAAATTTTTTATTAAGTCATGTATAGATAAATTTGTTTGTTCGGATAAATTTATATGTCTGGTTAAATGGGTGGTGTTGTTTAATTTTTTTATCTGAACCAACAGTCTGAATAACATAAATGACCGATTTACCCCCCAATATTAATTATCTGAACATCAAAACAAAAATCATAAAGAGTCCAACGATGAGGTATCTCATATGGGAAGGAGGTGTTGTTTTAAATAAGGGGTAGATGTGTCATTTTTGTGGCTGAATGAGGGCAACACACCATTTCTATATGTGCAATTAAGTCATATTCTGTGCGAATAAGTCGTAAGTAAACAACTCAAATGAGTTGTGCGAATAAGTCAGATAGACTAATAAGCCTAATTAAGTTGCAAGTAAACAGCCCCTAATTTTTAAAAAATTCTCTGAATTTTGAGATTTTTAGGGGGCGTATAGTTAAGAATATTAAGCAGTAGTTAATATGGATGTCTAAAGTTTCAGTTCTAGGTTAAACTGGAGAAATGAAAATCTGTCATTTTCATTCTCATTCTCGTAACTGAACCAAAAATCCCCCACAATAAACTCGCACACCCTTCTCATTTTTTGTGAACTAAAAAGTAATTTTCAATCTTCATTATTTTAAAATGTCAAATACAATATATCTGACTCGAAAGTAGGATCAGAATTATAATGAATAAAATAATGAAATCAAGAAATCTTGAATTTTGATGACAGGGATTGAAATAAGTGAGAGGCTTTCAACCATGGGGATAGCAGTGAACCTGGTGACGTATTTGGGTGGAACCATGCACCTTCCGAGCTCCACCTCGGCTAATGTGGTCACTGATTTCTTGGGCACCTCCTTCCTTTTGTGCCTTCTTGGTGGCTTCGTGGCTGACTCGTTTCTTGGCAGATTCAAAACCATTGTCGTTTTTGCTTCTATTCAAACCCTAGTAACTACTCTTCCTCTCATATAATTTGTCTTTTAACGGTTTGCTTCATGTAAGACTAACCTGTTTATCTTGATTGTGATTGCTTTAGGGTACGGGAGCGTTAGCGTTATCGACCAAGTTACCGAACCTAAGGCCGCCATCGTGCCAGCCCAACAAGGATTGCAAAGAAGCGAACGGATTCCAAATGGGAATTCTTTATCTTGCGTTGTATCTCATTGCATTGGGGACGGGCGGCTTGAAATCGAGCGTTTCGGGGTTTGGGACGGACCAATTTGATGAGAAAGATGAGGCCGAGAAGACACAAATGTCGTATTTCTTCAATAGATTCTTCTTCTTCATCAGTCTCGGAACGCTGATGGCGGTTACGGTGCTCGTGTACGTACAAGATGAAATCAGCCGAACCGTCGCTTATGGAATATGTTCGATCTCGATGTTCATCTCCATCTTGGTCATCTTGTCGGGGACTAAAAGATATCGGTACAAGAAGAGCACGGGAAGCCCGATTGTCAGCATTTTACAAGTGATCGTTGCCGCTATAAAGAAGCGGGGGATGGATCTTCCTTACGACGAGAACTTGTTGCACGAAAACTCTACCGACGGTTTAAGGATTCGTCATACAAATCAATTTCGGTAACATCTTTACTATATTATAAAACGATTACCGTATGCATATAACTTTTCAAACGACAATTAAATGATCGTTATACGATTCTTGTAGCTGCTTGGATAAGGCAGCAATTGTAGCGGAAGGCGATTTCGTGAAAAATGGTTCGGGTTCTGTTTCGAACCCCTGGAAGTTATGCACGGTGACGAGGGTGGAGGAAGTGAAGATGATGGTCAGGTTGTTGCCCATTTGGGCAACAACCATACTGTTCTGGACGGCTTACGCTCAGATGATCACGTTTTCCGTCCAGCAGGCGTCCACAATGGAAAGATCCATCGGATCATTCAGAATCCCTGCCGGATCCCTGACCGTCTTCTTCGTGATCGCCATATTGCTTACATGTGCCATCTACGACACTTTGATCATCCCGTTATGGAAGAAATGGAAAGGAAAGCCAGGTATATACATACATATATATACACACACATACATCACGCATTAAGTTGTGTATGGATAAAGCTGTCTGTGTGGATTAATCTGTCTGTATAAATTTGGAAAGTTTTTGTTTGGAAGGGTTTTTTCAAGAAGTGTTTTTTCTAATTGGGAAAGGCAGGCTCGGAAAAAATTAGCGAGCTTACTGAATAAGTTATTTTCTATATCATTAAGTCATTACCAAAACAATCAGTGTCTTTGAACTGCTAACATAGAGGCCCGACTGTCATTTATGACAACAGGTTTCACTGATCTTCAAAGAATGGCATTAGGGTTGATACTCTCAACCCTAGGAATGGCGGCAGCCGCCGCGGTCGAAATGAAGCGGTTATCAGTAGCGAAATCCGTTGGTGGCACCACCACCATAAACCCGCTACCGATAAGCGTATTCATGCTCATTCCGCAGTTCTTTCTGGTGGGTGCCGGCGAGGCGTTCATATATACCGGCCAGTTAGATTTCTTCATCACAAGATCACCGAAAAGCATGAAGACGATGAGCACTGGTCTGTTTTTAACGACGTTATCACTAGGGTTCTTCATGAGCAGTTTTCTGGTGTCGGTGGTGAAGAAGGTGACCGCCGGAAGCCACGGTGGAGAAGGGTGGTTGGCGGATGACATTGATCATGGAAGGCTGGACTGCTTCTATGGATTGTTGGCGATTTTGGGGGTGATAAATTTTGGGGTTTATGTTGTGGTGGCAGCTTGGAACAAGAAGGACGATAAGGCATCATCAGCCATGGAGATGGAGATGGAGGTGGAGGTGGTTTAATTAATTAATTTAATTAATTAATTAATTAATAATCGTTAATTAGATTAATTGTGTGCTTTTGTTGTTTATATTCTCGTCATTTTTCTTGTATTTCATTTAGTTATTTAAAAAAAATCGAACTGATGCTACAATAAAATCGGGTTTTATTGGACGTCAGATCTGATGCTTTTAACGGAATAATTTATAGAACGTAAATTTATATGACCAAATTATAAAGCGTTTTATTTAAAAGCGTTACAATATGTTTATAAGATGTTCTTGGACGTTTTGACAAGTTTAGTAAGGCCTGGCAAAGGCCCGATCAAGTCCCTTTTCTCAATCGATGTTGTAAGCGATTGGGAAATGAACTTGAACTATGTCACCTTTCGTTTAGGATATATTTGTTGACAGGTTAATTAGCTTAATGAGACTCACAGTTTATTCAGTCAGCTATATATGATTGTTGTAGTGTTTTAATGATATAGAAAGCAGCTTATTCAGTAATTTTTCAGGGGGAGACTTTATGTAGAGAGTCAAGTTTTTTTCCAAACTTATCTCTTCAAATTAAAAAACACACTCTTTCCATTTATGAAAAAAGTTTTCGAAATGAAAACTTTCTCAATCTATACAGATGTATCAATCTACACGTATAACTTTATTCATACATGATTTAATAAAAAACCAACCAAACAGTCCTTAAATGATTCACCTTTTATCACTTTAAAAACGTAAACTGAATAGAAAAAACAACTTCGTTTTTGGAAAACATACAGTGGATTGTCTGTTTTGTAAAATGAGTTACCGTAAATACGTTAACAAATGCACGATGAAAATTTATTTATGAAGTATGACTTTATTTGTTAGAAATTTTGTAATTCATTTTTGACTTTTTTTTTATTAGGGGTGGTTTATCAAATGCTTATTCAGATAAGCGCTTACTAAGTCATATTACTTTATCAGATGAATATGATAATGCAGGTAAGTGAGGGCGATGACTCTTACCACCATTAGCGGTTACCGGGTAAATTGTTACATATGACCATGTTAGTGGACTAAAAAACTTACCCGGTAATGAGTGATAATATTGAATTTTACCGGTAAACGTTTATTCGAATAAGCATTTGGTAAACGACTTGTAACTTAGCCAAATATATCACTAAGGGTGCACGCGGGTTGGGTTGGGTGGTTTACAACATTTTTACAACCCAACCCAATTATGACGGTTTGGAAAAATCTCAACCCAACCCAACTCTTGCGGGTTGAAGCGGGTTGGGTTGGGTTGACGGGTTAATAGTTATATAAATTTGACGAATGAAATAACTCATAAAACTTAATTTTATAGACCATACTATAAAGCGTCATATCTAAAAATGTTACAATAGGTTTACATGACTTTTTTGGACGCTTCAACAAGTGTTTTAGAATGATATTTAAATAAAATGTCGTATTAGTTATTTTATATAAATATTTTGAGAAGTGTCACTAAAACTCATCTATTTATAGGACACCTATGTTTATATACATTTTTCAAGTCGTGTCGTATAAAATAACTAATACAATACTTTATTTTAAAAGCGTCATAGAATTTGTTAGGACGCCCAAAATCATCCTATAAACATATTGCAACTCTTTTAGATAAAACATTTTCCTTATTTCGTCCTATAAAGAATCATATTAAGACGCTTAGACATTTTAGGCATCCTATAAGATCTAATGTTGTTGTAGCGAAATGCTATAACGAAACAATTTATTTCCACTAAAGTACAACATCAAATGACGGGGTATTTAGATTGATAGATTCGTCAACAAAATATCTATTAGTGTCATTCATATTCTTCGACATATCAATTTGTTGCTGCTGCAAGAAAGATTCCAATAATTTTCTCTTATTAATCAGATTATTTGTCATCATTCTTTGATCATAAATCTCTTTTGGTAACCTATATGTTTAGCTAAAATGAAATACAAACATAATATCAATAAAGATTATACATTATTAATATATATATATATATATATAGGAGTTGGGCTACTACTAGAAATTATCCTTGACTTATTGAAGCGGGTTGGGTTGGGTTGACGGGTTAATAGTTATATATATATAAATAAAATTTTATAAAAATTATATATTAGCGGCGGGTTAAGCTAGGCCCAACCCAATTTTAACCCTCCTACTTGGCGGGTTAGCGGTTAAGCGGGTTGGGTTTAATTGGATTGTTAGCAGGTTGGGTTGGACGGGTTTTATGGGTTGACGGTCTTTTGTGCACCCCTAAAAAAGACCATAATGCTTTCAATTTAACTGGAGTTTGCAAACCAAAAACGATATGCAAACCACATCGACTATCGATGTAATAAATAAAGTTCGAAGACATAAAAACGAAAACTTTAGCATAGTATAGGGACCAAAATTGTAAAGTAGTCATGAATTTTTATCAATGTCTCTTGAGAAGGAACAAAAACTATGTGTATGAAATGTTGGGTACCATGGAGCATTTACTCTTTTGGTTCTATGAATTGAAGTTGGATATTTATTTTAAGCCCAATTTTATCATGGTACAATAAATGGCTGTCTCAATTCAGACATTTGGTAGCCCTACACATATATCATTATTATCATAAATGTGAAATGGTCCAAATTCAGATGATAGAGAATTCTAACAGGTAATCTGGATTAAGCCACATAAATTTGATATATCTTCTAAATCGTGTTTGGGAGATAAGATGTATGCATCAGTTTATTTGGATCAAGAAATCTTGAAAGACTGGTCATGTAGATGAAAAAACTTGATCCTTTTGGGGTTACGTACAATTAGTTCGAGTTATAGGAGTTGGGCTACTACTAGAAATTATTAAGAAAACCATTTACCTTCAATAAGTCAAGGATAACCAAAGGGCATTTGACCTAGCGGTATCGTAGTCTTTGGCCTTCTAAGAAGTCAGGGGTTCAAACATAACCAAACGTGAGAAGGGTGTGTAAGTTTATTTGTTGCATTTGTGGTATATAAATATTATATACTTCAAAAAAGTGTCAAGGCTAGAGATGCACAGAAACCCGAAAAGGCCAAGACCTAGCTAACACGAAAAGCCTAATCGGGCCAATTTTTTTTATCGAAAGTCCGAAAAATCGCATCTTGAAAAAGCCTAATCAAGTCTCTTTTCATACCCCAAAGGTTGGAAGGCCAGAGAAGACCCGAATCTTTCTTCTTTTTTTTTTTGCTTACTAAATCAGGCTTGGAGGGCTCGGGTCCAAGACCAGCCACGAAAAAGCCTGGTTGTGTGCGTGCATCTCTATCATGTGTCTTGCTAACGTAGTAAGTCAGTATATGGGTTACTGGTATATCACAAGTTCATTGCAGGTCAAATATTATATACTTAAAAAATGACGTAAATGATGTGTCATTAGCAACAAACTTGATACCATTACATAACACACTGGTTGTATTTTCATATTTCTTTAAAAAAAAAAACCCCTAAGAATATTAAACTCTAAGCGATTCAAAGCCAGAGTAACACGTGTATTAAACCCGTATTTCTTTTCTCCACGATACGAATATCCCTCGATTAAATTTACACAACTCCAAAAGACTCAAAATTGGTTTTCTCGAAAAGAACACAACAAACAACAGAAAATTCACATGTAAATACAAACTACAATGAGATGCCGAATTGGGTTGCAGCATTTCATGAGTTTCAGTATCCAGCCAAATCCTAAAGAAGACGAATACTAAGAATCGCCACATCATCACAAGCCGATACGCAAATCAAACCCATAAAATTCTAGCCTACTTTATCAATTAACCAAACCAACATTCCCACATACAGGTAAAGTTTGTGGATAAGATGTATGTAGAAAGTGTATCCCGTACAGATGTAGAGTCTGGAGGTAAGATATATGCAGATATTGTATCTCAAACAAAGAAAGAATCTGGGGATAATATGTATGCAGACAGTATACCCCATACAGAGATAGAGTATGGGGTTTGGATATATGCAAACACCGGTAGATTTTGGGGTAGGATGTATGTAGAAAGTGTATCCCGTACAGACGTAGAGTCTAAAGGTAGGATGTATGCAGACATTGTATCTCAAACAGAGAAAGAATCTGGGGATAATATGAATGCAGACAGTGTACCCCATATAGAGATAGAGTTTGGGGTTCGGATATATGCAAACAGTGTATCCCATACAGTGGTAGATTTAGGGGTAGGATGTATGCAGACAAAGAGGTAAGAGTCTAGGGATAAGATGTATATAGACAGTGTATTCTGTATATTCTGGAAGTAAGATGTAAGCAGATCTGACATCTACCCTGATATCTGTCTTGTGCTATATGGCCACAAATGAAACAATATATCTTCAAGAATCAAATGTTCATGATCTAAAGATAGATCGAATCATCAACAAGAAAACACCAAGAAACCAAGAAAGATAACACAACCAGAATTCATCCTACAAATCAAAGATTTGATTATAAATATATATGTGTATCACATACCAAAAGATAAATCTTTCTCAAATCATCACAGTGCATGAATCAGCAAACAGCCTCAAACTCAAAAGCCCGAAACCGTCAAGTGACGAAAAGACGAACATAAAAACGATAAATTAGACATAAAGTAAGTTCCTAAATCCATCGATAACGAAACAAATATACGAGGGTTACCTCACCCCATATGACTATTTTCTGATCTTTCTCTACGCCTTTCGTGTTGTGAAATGTGGTGACGAAACCAACATACACAAAAATGTGTTTCAATCATCGGACTCCGTCTTATTGGCAGATTTTTCCCCTTCTCGTTCCTCCAACAATTTCCCAGATTCGTCATCCGGTTGAGCCGCCTTCTTCTCCGCTTCCTTAGCCTTAAGAGCCTGTAACTTAGCATGATTGTAATAAGCAACACCCAAGAAAGCAATCGCGTAACCGAAAAGATTAATTGGGGTTACGGTATCTTTAATCACAGACCAAGAAAACGCGATCAACAACCAATCTTTCACAACCCCAGCTACATTCATGGTCAAAGCCGAAGTCTTTCCAACGAGCAAGAACACAGCAAGATTCAAAGCAAATGCACATAACGAATTGGTTCCGAAGATCAAGTAATCGAAATGGAAACTCGAAGTATCTCTCAATTTAGGGAATTCCACGATCATCCATGGAATCGACAAGAAAGCTAAACAACAAGGAGCAACATAATACAGCGAAGTGATCGGATTAAACGTGATTCCTTTCGAAGTTAACAAAATCTGAATCAAAACCAATCGAGTCGCTTCGAAACAAACAGCACCAAGCTGTAAAGTAACACCCCAAGTATTGAATTGAGCCTCACCATAAGCAGCAATTGCAACCCCAAAAGAGATCGATAACATATTCGTCATCGTTTGTGATTTAAACCCTTCTTTTTTAAACAAAACTCCAATCGAATAAACAGCAACAGGCATCAAGGCTTTAAGCATTTGAATAAAGGAAACAGAGAGATAAATGTAAGCAGAATTCGAAAGCCATAAACTGAGAGAGTAAAGCAAACCAATTGGAACAACGGATTTGAGATAAACATCACGAGTCATCTGAACTGGTTCAACAACTTTCAGAAGATTAACGAGGATGTAAGCTAATGAAGAACAAAACCCCATGTGGATCATGGTGAGTGAGATCGGATACGGCCAATTGTACATCTTTCGATCCAAGATGTATTTGTTGTAGACGATTACCGTGAAGCTAAGGAAGATCCATATGGCGACGTAGGTATATGAGAGTATGATCTTCTTCAATACACCTTCGCTTAAGGCTCCTCCTTTCCCCATTTCTTCGATTGGATCTGAGTCGTAAATTAGGTGAAAATTTGATCGATTTTAAAGGGGAAAAGAAGGAATCCCAAGTTGGGAATTGGGAAATTGGAGTGCGTTAGAGATGGGGTTTTGAGAAAACTCGATTGAATTATTTGGGGGTTTTGAAAATGGTAGTGCGTGTTTGAGGGTGAAAGTGTGTGAAAATGGAGGACTTGGAAGGGATGAGAGTCGTTTACAAGTCGGGGATGAGTGTTATATACGAAAAGAGAAAAAAAGGTATTTATTTTATTTTGAATCAAAATCATTAATTATTCGATTATATATTTAAAGTATTTTTTTATAATAATAAAATATACTAAAAATTGTGAATAAAAATAATAAAGATTACGATTTTAAAATGAGTTTTTTTTTTAACTCTTAATCTATACTCTATTATAAAGCATTTGGCAAAAAATTCTTAAAAACCATATTTTATGCACGAAGTACTGTTTATTAATGTATATTACTTAAAATTTAAAATTACAAGTAAATTGTGCATAAGTACAACTTATTAAGCTCCATATTTGAATTCGTGTAACTAACTGCAGATAAACATAATCAAATATTGGATAAACATTTCATTTTAAATATAAAAAAATTAAAATATAATTAGGATAATCATTAAGTTTTAACAGAATACTTAATTATTATTTTTATAAAAAATTATATTATTGAATTATAATTAAAAAAATTACACCAAAACACAAGAACTTTAAAAAAGATTAATTTGATACTGATATCAATATATTTGTTTTTCAAAATTTTATGATAATTTCAAATTTATATTTTATTTAAAAATAAAAACATTATCGATTTCTCAAAACTAAATAAAACCGTATTATATCGATATGAAAAAGAAGAAAACGAAACACTGAAATCAAGATGTATCTCGATGCATTGCACGAGTACCCTTCTAGTAATTTTATTAAGAGACAACCTCTGAATTGTTAATAGGTGAATCTTGTTTGACAAAAAAATATAACTATCTCTTAATGGTTCTAAAACCCTCTGAATGGTTTTGTATCATGTGTCTCCCTTAACCATTCAACGTCTTAATTTCATTGTAAACAATTACCAAACAATTATATTTCATTTTGCATTATATCATGACAGCTTCTTTATGATTATGACCACTTAATCATTCTGCACCAAACCATTCAACAACTGTCAAACAGCTCATAAATAAAACTATTTATCGAATTTACAATCATCTAATTATTTTTATATTTCCAAGGGAAAAGTCTAAAGTCCGTGTATCTAACAAGTTTTAGAAAGTCCAATGAGTTATTTAACAGATTTTAGAAAGTCCAAGGAGTTATTTAACAGATTTTGGAATGTCCAATGATTTATTTGTTTCAAAAATTGTCCAATGATTTAATCATTCCAAACACTAAAGTCCATTAGGTTTTTTTAGACTTTTCCCTTGTTAAAACGCCTAACAGACCTATAAACTTATTGTAACATTTTTAAATATGATGTTTTTTGTTTTGATCATATAAACTTAAGCTATGATGGTTCTACATTTTAGGCATCCTATCAAACCAATTTTTGTTGAGTGTTTGGTGTTATCCAATGAACATTATAATCTTATTTTCATTAAATTACGGTAAAAATTATGACCTATATATGTGATGTCAATTTATTATGTCACAGTATGAACAATTTTTTTTATTAACCTGGATATTCAACCCGCTATGCGAGCCGACTAATCCCAGGGCGACCACCTGCTTTCCAGATAACCCGGAGTCACCACATTTGAACCTTCGTGGCCACAAAGGGATTTTTATTCCTCCTTGGATTTGAACCTGAGACCTTCTAGTACTTTTGACCTTTGAAGCCAAGCTCAAAAATATGAACAATTTTAAATTCATGTTTACAGTTTTCATCAGAAAAAATATATATGCGATGTCAATTTATCATACTTTAATATTTTATTTACAGTTTTTAACAAGCAAAAAGTTATGAAGAGTAACTTAGAAGACTGGTGGTTTACTTGGATAAAGGTTGAAAACGTTATTAATGCTTGTGTTTTCTTCGTTTTAGAAAAATAGAGCTATAAAGAGTAAAAAGGGTATGAAAATACGGCACTTTAAAACGTACGTTGAGATATTATCACATAGATGATGATGCAGAAACCGAATAAACGTGATTACTATCAATGGTTTTATCCTTGTAAGAGTATTTCAAGGGGAAGTAGAATGAAAACGGCAGAGTCCATGTGATCCCAGTTTTCGTATTTAACATTTACATTAACCAAACTAATGTGTTTGGAGCAGGTAATTGTAGAAACGTACAATTGAAAACTACCAGTAAATTTGCTTCATTACATGTCAGATAGAGGCTTTAAAAAATCACCTGAAACTGAACGAATATATAAATTACAAATTGGAAAAAAAAAAAAACCCTGTTAACAAAACCACAAATGTTAGTTGAATGTTATATTGTTATGCTATAATCGTAGTTGAAATTATTTCGATTGTGCCATTATTTTTTGTGTCAACAGGGGCGGCAAAAACGAACGATTTATAGTTCTAGGCTAAATCTAACTTGTAAAATAGGAGAACGGTTCCAATCAGATAGGTTCAGAGGCTTTGCTTCATGGTAAAGCTTCATTTCAACGTGCACCTTGAGGAGGAGGTTGACACAAAGAACGTGAGATGATTCTTCGCTTACGCCGAAGCTTCATTGGTGCAGGTTGAGAGGCTTTGCTTCGTGGTGAAGCTTCATTGCATGCGTTTTCCGTGATTCTGATAAATATCTGCTCAAACTAAACACATTCCAGTCACCATATACATATTTCATAAGAAGATTTTTCTGGAACATCATAAAGCTGCAAGGATAAAGTAAAGGGGGTTAGCAAGAAGCAGGGTGTTGTTTCCCTCGACATTCCCTCTAATTTTGTCTCTGATACTTATTTAAACTTTTTAGTATAAATTTCATGTACTGTATAACTTTTTACGTCCTCTAAAACAAAATTGATGGTCATTCAACCACAAGGGCGGTGTCTGATTGGTTTGAGCTTGGCTCCAAAGGTCGAAAGTACCAGGAGGTCCCAGGTTCAAATCCAAGGAGGAATAAAAATCCTCTTATGGCCACGGAGGTTCAAATGCGGTGACTCCGGGCTATCTGCAAAGCAGGTGGTCGCCCTAGGATTAGTCGGCTCGCTTAGCGAGTTGGATATCCAGGTTAATAAAAAAAATTGATGGTTAATCTGTAATTTTCTTCGCCTTGTAGATTTTCTGACTCTAAAACTGAATATACATCCATATAACACATCAGATCACACATCTGTCCTTTTACTTTGAAAAAGCACATGATATGTTTTCCTCGATCTGTCATGGCTTGTAATCATGAAACGATTTTAGGCATTTATCGATATATGCCATAAGCATACGCTAGTAATACTTTCCATTGTGTGCATAGAAATCTTGTTTTATTATTGAATCAAAACGTACAAAAACGGCACATTTTAGGAAACGTTGTCAAGTCAAAATTATATTCAGGGTACATAACATTCAAGATCATAATCATATTTGTCAAAAAAGCAAATCAGGGAACTGAAAGTAATTTTGACGCGTTCCTCTCATAAAAAATGTACAACTGCAAGATCACACAAGCTGATTTGAATGCACTTTAGTGAGTTAAATCAATCCAGTAATTTTTTATTGATTGTATTTGTAATAATGGTGGGATAACGTATTTAAGCATAGTAAAAGATTTTATATCTTAAATTGTAACATTGAAAGATAATACAGATAAGAAAAAAGTTGTTGGCACATCTGACTCATAAGTTAGCTGCTGGCACAACTAACAAACTTATGGGAATATTATCCTATCATGTGAGACAAGGCTATTTTCATGAGACATGATTTTTACACTAGAAACTTCACAGCAAAACACTGTAAAGGTAACATTCATGGTGTTTTGCTATGAAGATTTGTTTTTTTTTACCTTCACAACATTTTGTTGTGAAGTTTCAAATGTACAAATCGTGTCTGTCTCACGTGAACCCAACCCTGTATACATATGTTTATTGGCATAAGTTAGCTTATGTCGTGCCAAACATGCCCCTTTGTGTATGTATATGCATATACATATCTATATCTATATCTATATCTATACTATATTATAAAGCATTTGGCTAAAACTCTTAAAAACTCTTAAAACTCTTAAACCAGATTTCCCATATCTGAATTCGTGTAACTAACTGCAGATAAATACAATCAAATACATGATAAACATCTAATTTTAAATATAAAAAATCTAAAATATAATTAGGATAATCATTGAGTTTTACCAAAATACTTAATTATTATCTTTATAAAATGTTATATTATTAAACCAAAAATAAATTATTTCATTATT